AAAAAGGAATAGATATGAGTAAGAGTGAGAATCTTGAGGATAGGTATAGATGTAGATATCTCTGCTCTCAGCAGACACCCACACCCACACCCTCTTCTTGATATAATTCGTGTTGCATAATAAAAATTCTTTTTGTGATATATTTATTTTTTTCTTTTTCTTTTGTAACTTTATATCCGTGACTTTTTTTGATTTAATCAGCAATATAACTGTTGAAAAAATTTGAGAGATTTCATATAACATAACAGTATATATTGGTTAATTTTTTTTCTCAAATAAATATAGGAGAATAAATTCATACTTTGATTCTATTGATTTATGATTTGGATTATGAGCAAACTATTCTGTTGTTTTGTTTATATTTTTAGTCTTTTTTTTATGGCAAGATCGATTGATTCATTTAAAAAAATATATATCATAAGAGAGAAAGTATACTCCATTTTTATTCTTTGCATAATGCGATGAAGGACCATGAGATAGTTTTTATACTATATTGTTTAATGTTATGAATGCTGATATCTTATGATCGTAAACAACAGACAACAAAGTCAGCCTTGATTATAAAATTGAAAATAAATTTTATCATATATTTTTATATACCGAAAGAAAAGAAATGAGTGCATTCAAAATAAATGAAAATTTAATCTAACATTTATTTTCATTTCTAAATAAAAATTGTTCGCGTCGTAAAAATCACAATCATTAGTTGGTTTTATTTTTGTTCCAGATTTTCATTATTTTCAAACAAATGAAAGAAATATTAATTAAATTTTTGTTAACAAAAAAGATTGTCTAAAGTTTCTTACTTTGAAACTACAGCTGATGACAGATAATGAATTATCAGTGTTCTTTCAACGTATGATAGTTCGACTTCTCGATTTTGATAATATGAATTTGATTTGATTTTACTATAATCGTGAATGTTGAGAATATTACAATAATTCATAAAAAAAGCAGAATTTTATAAAAACGAAAGCCTCTATTACTATGATCATATCTTGCATTGCTCTTATTGTTGTGTTACTATTATTTTTTTTAATCGATTAATAGAACAGCTATTATGCGAAATAGTAGATAGGTAAAAGACAAATGTTTTAAACTAAAAATCACTTATTGTTTCTCATTCACATCTAATTCATTTTATTTTTTCTGCGTAGAATAGTTTTATAAATTTAGATCCGCAGGTCATTTCTTCTTAGTCATCATCGCTTTCACTCTCGTTATTCTCCTTTTTTGTTCTGTTCTCTTTCGTTGTACACAACATGTGCGATTTTGTTTTACTCTTCTTTACCATGAGTATATACAAACGTCATGGTTGAATGAATATGATAATTTTGCTCCTTGTTTCTTTTCATATAATATCAAATACAACTACAAGCAATCATATCACTGTACATTCGGTTTTAAATTCTATTTTATCGAAAATCGACTCTGAATAAGTTAATACATTTTTAAACTATTTTTATTTGTTCATAAAATTAGAAGCAGTCCGAAAATGCTCGATTTTTAAAAGAAATCATTTTTTAAAGTGAATAATCAAATTTACTATTCTTGATGTCTCAAATATATTATTTTCAAAGATTTAATAATTCTTCGGCGAATTCTTATGAGCATTCCTGGAATATTTATTCTTCAGGAAACTCTTATAACTTATTTTCTAGTTTACATTTTATTATAAGATTTATATTATGTATGATGATTCGATGGCATTTTACATTATTTAGAGAGAAAAAAAACAAGTAAAACTTATTTCCAACTAATTTTTATTATTGAAAATGCAAAAAGAAAATATAAAAAAGAAGAAAGGAAAAAGTGATAAATAAAATATGCGAGATTAAATAATTGGTTAAATGATATTAATATTGAGAAAGAAAAAAGAAAGCATAAAAAAAAAGAAAAATGGTAGATAAAATATATAGAACTAACTAAAAAATAAAAAAATTGTCAATAGTTTGCATTTCGTCTGCCAGTCAGTACAATTCGTCCTTTCTATAAAAAAAAATAAAGAAACATTCAGTCGAATACTGGAAACTAAATAGAATAATAATCTGAAAGAAAATATATAAAAAATAAAATATAATATTAGAAGTATTCTTTCCTGAATAAATATAAGTATAGTCTTAGGAAAACATACCTACCCTTATTATTTAATATTTATTCAGATATGTATTTCACGCCATAAAAGCATTAAAAAGATATACTAATAGCTAAAAAATAATGATAGAAGAATAGATCATCTGAAGATTATGTTCAACTATTTCATATAGTTGAAAAAATATGTGAACCAGTTAGCTGACGAATGAGTATATGTGACTTATAAATTGTTTGCACAAATACTTGATGCAACTATTTTATTCATTTTACATAGAATTTTTACTCAATCAACTGATTAATGAACAAACGACAGATGAATAAGTCATATTAAGATTATGTACCGGTATTTCCTACCCTTCGAACAACAATTTTTGGAATAGCTTAACATTCAAAAACAAATGATAGATGGATAAGTCATAAGAAGATTCTGTTCTAGTATTTTACTTCGTTCAAACAACAATTTCTAGAACAGTTTAACATTTACAAACAAATGATAGATGAATCAGTCATAGCAAGATTGTGTACAGGTATTTATTTTCGTTCGAAGAATAATTTCTAGAACCATTTAACATTTAGAAACAAATGGCAGATGGATAAGTCACACGAAGATTCTACTCTAGTATTTTACTTCGTT